AGTGTAAAATAATATTATAAATGTATCTGATTAATATTTAGACCTACAGAGTGTAAAATAATATTATAAATGTAACATAATTATTAATTTATTGTAAAAACATGACAGATAATGTGTGAAACAGATCCAGTTCAGCTGCTGTTTATCTGTTAGTTTCTATGTTTGCTGTGAGCTGTTGTCCTGTTTGGTCTGTTTCTGCTCCTCCATGATGTCACAGACACCAGTGGACAGGATGGGTAGTGATCTTATTCAAGTCTGTTTGCTTACAGTAATGGTGTTTTCCATCTGGCTACATTTTGGCTGCTAAAACTTTAGATTTTGTTAATAAATAGTTTAAAGAACTAAAGTCAGTCAGTGGAACTGTACGGTGGCTGTTAGTAATTATATGTGTTTTAGCCACTAAGGAGAGGTGTGTGATTTAATAAGAGAGGATGATAAATCACTCAACAGATCTCTAAAAAACATGTCCCCCTCTCTTCTGAGATGATGGTTACACCCTTGAGTGAAGGCACCAGCTAAATGTCTGGTTTTCTCCTACTTTTGTTAAACTGTCTGCTGGAGCTCTTGTGCTGCACAGAGAGGCTGCCTGTCACTGTGAACATGAGTTGAGATCTTCTCCTCATTGGTCAGTCAGCATGAGGTGGGTCAGGTGACTGAGAGGGTTGCTTAATGTCAAGCATCACTTTTGTGTAAATGGAGGACACTTCCCTGATCTCAATGTAGTGGATTATGTTTACCAGATTATACTGATGTGTTTTGTTTTTATAGCATCGTGAAGGAGTGTCCTTGACAAGAGAACATAGTGTATTTGTAGTTCTATGAGCATTTGTACATCAAAATACACTTAGAATCTGAAGTATTGAGTATATTTACTATATATTGCAATAATTTACTCTGTATTTTGCCATACTGGTAATCCTGGGGTCGTGATGATGGGGCCCTTGAATATTGTTGCCCAGGGTACAGCGAAGTGTTAATCCGGCCCTGGTTCTGCTACTTTTAGCTTCTGTTCTGTTTAATTTGACTTTTATTTACCATTTTCTTTTTATCTTTTAACATTTATGCAAATGAAAAATCTATTTTTGCTGATTTTTTTTTGTTTTGATACTTTTAGCTTTCAGCTACTGTTTTGCTTGTTTTGAGTTTTTATTTACCATTCTTTTCTCTTTAGCTTTCAACTTTTGCAAATGATTTTTTGTGCTGATTTTAGTTTTTATCTAATGTTTTGCCATTTTAGCTTTTAGCTTTTACAGCTATGCTAACTGTAATTTATTTTATTTTTTGCTGATTTTAGTTTTAGCATCTGTTCTGCTACTTTTAGCTACTTTTCTGCTTATTTTGAGTTTTTATTTATTCTTGTCTCTGGTTTTTGCAAATTTTAAATTGTGTTTTGCTGATTTTAGTTTTTATC